GAGAGAAGCGAAGGAGAAGCGTCGCCGACGTCGCGACGCCCGAGATATCCTTCGCGGAGGCGGCGACGGCGACAGTGACAGCGGCGACGACGGGAGCGAACTGTCAGAGGCGAGCGGCGAGCGTGCACTCGTGACCGAGAATCGCAGCCAGCCGCTTGCGACACTTTCGTGTATGTACACACATCGTAGGTTTTGGCGAGCGTGATCGGATCTCGCGGGCACGCCGCCGCGTCCGATCGACGCCGATCGTTCAAGGCCGCTACGTATGACCTTAACCCTCGCGCCAATTACGAGGAATTACGTTTCATCTCGCGGTTGAATATGATACATACACGCATATTCGTATCTAAGCTCTTGATGACCCTAATCGGGGTAAGAAGGAAGACGAAGAAGTTACGACTGCTCTTGGAGCAATTACTAGATACGCTCGCTCTATGGAGAGAAAGGAACTTACTTAGAGATGAGATGGGAAAAGAAAGATGAGAATAAGATATAAGAATAAGTCGTAAAGGCTTCATCCTCTTCACGATTCTTTTCTTGTTAAAAAATTATGTTCTTATTCTTCAGAAAAAGAAGATGATTATTGCCTTTGCATATGTTATTGTCTTAGCTTTCTTTCACAAAATATAGTAACAATAACGTAAATGTAGAATAGAAATAAGAAACCTTCCAGCGTTTCATTCTTTTAAGCATCAACGCTAAGAAATGATTATATATATAATAATTCTTGTTTAGAAATTAAAGAGAATAAGAATTTTTTGTAAATGTGAGAATTTATAATTGAATAAATTATAAAGTAGTAAAATTGCAGTACAAAAAACTTTTTTTTAGATTTTTCTATATTTTCTAATAAATTGCATAAAATTACAGAATTTTTATAAATACAATCAAATTTAGCTCAAGATGCGATCTAGATGAGACGTTTGCAATTAGATAAGATGCAAATTATTTTGTTACATAATGTATTTATATATCCACGCGCACGATTATTACCATGTGTTAGTTGGTGATAAAATTTTTTAGAAGGCGATATATAATAACGATAAGTAATCTAATTTATTAATACAAATACATCATATCTGTAAATTTATTTGAATGACAGTATTTGTGTTAAGTCTGCTTCGTACTTTCTATATTATCCGAGAATAGATAGAAGAGATATATAATCCGAGAAGAAACAGATTATATCGTATATTTTCTTTTTACACGATATATCTCACTAAATTCCAAATTATTCTAATATTTCTTATTTTCGGTAAAGCATTATTATAAAATCAAATTACGATAATACTTAACATCCAGAAAAAAAAAAAAAAAATTTAAGATCACAAAAGATGATAAAATTTCATTTTACCTTATTTATCACATCATCTCGAGAGTTTTACGTAATAAAATTCAACTTTTGCCGAAATATTTAAAGGTAAAAATAGAATATACACAAAGTTGTTTTCGATGAATGGGAAAAACGGATTTCAAATTTGTACGAGACTATTCGTCACTACAAATAATTGCCAATAAACCGCTGACACGCATCCATGTCCGATGCGATATACGATATATCGTTACATACGGTGTTAACAGAAATACACGTCGACAGAACAATTACGAACGCGGCGAGGTCTTTTGTACACGTCGCGGGCTCGCTTTCCTGTCATTCGTTATTCCCTAACAATGATGATGAAGCGAGTTTAAGCGCCGCGTGACGAAACGACAATACCCGGTTACTATTTCTGAATACCTGTGGGAGGTGCGACATATGCATGAGTCGCATACACGAGAAGCGTGTGCAGGAAACGCCAGTTTGTCGTAGCCGCATATGGTTATTAGCAGGTGACAAGGACGATGCGTGCCCGTCATATATTTCGTCAACATGAGTCAACGAGAGAACATGATAATTAAACGCAATAATTAAATACATTTTAAATGTCCATTTATATATCCAATTCGCGGTAGAATTATTGTATAATTTTTTTTTTTTTTTGCCTCCTGTAATACAAGATGTTTACTGATATTTTTTAAGTAGCACTTTTCTAGATTTCCAGTTTAGAAATGATACGTAATTATACAGAAAATGTTATAGTTCGAAAAACGTCATCCGAGTGTAAACGATAATATTGTCAAGACGAATATTGTCGAGTTAAATATTTCAATCTGTATGTACGAAACGAAGTCGAATTATACGTCAAAATTGCAACAATCGGTTATTATATTTAAGTAGAAATAGATATCTATGTGAAAACGACAATAGCTAATACCTGTATGTTATGTAAATTATTTTCTTATGTTTCGACACATTTCGTAATTCGTTAATTCAGCGCACTTGTGTAAAAAGAAGATAACTTTGCGATCATTGCGATTTCGTTAAATCAGATGTAAAACGTTAAAATTTATCTCAATTATAATTTCACGTAAATTTTCTTACATTAAATTAACCATATCTGACTTTTCTTCGATAAAATTTTATAATATTCTACAAAAGAAAATATTTACTTTTTTTAAGTACATGATAATGAGAATTTCTAAAATTTGTGGCAAGTCTATTTTAAGACTATTATTAAGTAAATATTCTTTATTAAAAATAACTGTTACTTAAAAGAAGTAAAGTAAACTGAGTAATCATTTTACTTAGCAATAGAATAATATTTTTCTGTGTGTAGTATCGCTCTATCATTTTCCTGGACACCGACAATTTTCACGGCAAATCGATTATCGCGATTCTTTGACATCGCGCAATGGCGTATTTGCAATTTGTCATCGCGTTACGATGACGTGACAAATGCACTCGTAGCCCCATCATTACACGTCAATCGAACGAACAATTGCGTATGGAAGTGACCGCTTATATCGCGGAACGGAAGTCGATTGCGACTTCACGGAAACCATAACTTTTCGGTTGGTCTGGTCGATTTACATTTATTTCGGTCATGGCCTATTTTCGGAAACGATCATGGAATTCCGAGATAAAAATGTGTTATCACGCAAAATTGACTCTTGGATCATCGCCCTTTCTCGAACTCTTAAATGTATATATCTATATACAGATATCGATCTCGGAGAAACACGTTGTTCAATCTCTATTATTAAATATTTTATGACAATATTCTCGGGAGTTCTTATTTAATTTTTAGGTCATATCGAAAAGATCACTTAAACTTCTCAACCTCTTGCTGCTTTTATCCGATTGGATAAAATTTAAGTAATGAAAAAATTTTATGCTTTGCTTGTCCAGCACGTTAAACATTTTTCTATGGCTTTTTTGCCAATCAATTTTTGATATCATTTAATATTTAATAAAATAATAAAAATTATATATTTATAGCCAACATATCTTTTTTTGACACTAATAAAATTTAATCAATCTCTTCGTGATTTTATTATTATTTAATTGTTAAATTTTATATTCATTCCGGAGCGAGTCTGTGTATCTTTCGATTACTTTTATCAGAATTCTAAAGAAGAAGTACGTGTCTCTGTATTATTTTCCCTTTACTGGAACATGGCTTTAGAATTCTATGCTATTTTCGTATAGTCTGGGTGCTTCCTCATACTTGTCTGTATACTTTTAAACTCTTTCTCTGGCTCAAAATCTCGCTATTTTTGACAAAGAGGAAGCTAATTTCGCGTACATTATCTGGGCCTCCCGGTAAGCCGTCGAAAAAACGGCCGCGACACGAAGCTTGGAATGCGCCATCGGTATTGGCTATTATTAGCGCGCTTTCTATTTGCATGCCGCTCAAAATAGAGAAGACGCCGTTCTCCACACTGTGTGGTTAGTTTTAGCGGGTGGGATAACCGGCAAAATTTTTGTATGATCTCATTAACGAGAGCGTTGTTGCACCCGCCTCAGGAGAGTCTAAATAAAATACAATGTGAAAATAAATATAATGCGACAAGAAAAGTCGCTTGCTGTCGCCATGTCCGATTTTGTTACGAAATTCTGATCCAATCTTCTTCGATGCGACGCGAAACAAAACAAAAGGATTATTATTTATCATATACATATATATATATATGATTTCGAATAAAATATTTAGCCGCCGATAGTTTCCAAAAATTACAAGCGATTATGTAATTTGGTATTATTAATATAAAAAATATCTTTAAACAAATTCGTGTATTAAAAATAATGCTTTTTAAAGGAACTTGCAGGATTAAATAATTATTTAATCGTAACAATTTCTGTCAAAAATTTAAAAATTTCTAGATCATTTATGTATATATGTCACTACACTTATATTTATTTGTATTAATTACGCGCGATTATTGTTGGCAATTTTACCTAGAGATGTAATAACTAGGGCTGTGAAAAGGTCAGAGGATCGTCAGTTAAAATTGCGCGTAAAAATACCACAAGATAGTAGTTGCACGTGTACACGTATCAATACAACAATATTACAGTGTTCGTGTGGCGCCAATTGCATCACTTTGAGCGAACGTACGAATGCAATGTCCACTCTAGCACGTCGTGCGATTCTGAGCCAAAGAAAGCTGTCATAATTCATGTACGATACTTATTTTGAAAATATGCCGTATCACGTGCTCGGATTATCGTCGAGTGTGGATCAATGCGAAATCCGTCTCGTTTGAGGATGTATGTCATATGTCGAAATATTGACAAAAGTATGAAAATTTCATAGACTGTTCTATTATTTCTTCTGTGAATATCTGTGCAAAATCTGAGCACAATTCTCTTAACGGTTTGGAAATTATTTAAATTTAAAGTTACTATTGATTCTTATGCAAAATCGCGTATTGTAACTTATTGACAAATTTGACAAGGAAAAAACATTGCCAGAGAAACAAAAATTTTCACATACAATATATTAAG